CAACTTGAGTTCTCATCGGTTGCCGCTCACTAGGATGCTTTCTATATGCTTTTATATTCCGTGTTTTTTTCACATTGTGATCGGGTGTTTCAGGTGAGACTGTGCCAGGCAGAGATAAGTTCGGCACAGACAACACCTTCCTAGTGGCGATGAAAACATACGCCAAAAGGGTTGAAATATCCAAAAACAAAACAGGCAATGCTGAGCGAAGACAGGTGAAAAAGACGTACCTTCGCGTCGGGGGCAGCAACGGCGACTACCGGAAGACTGTGTGTGTCCTCATTTTGCAAGTAGGCGATGTCGTCTTCATAACGGATGCTTAGTCGCTCTGCGAGAAAAGTAAAAAAAGAAGAAACCAACGTAACGCAGATGGCTTGGCGGAACCTTAGCCTCTCATTGACCAGATGGACAACGAACTTACCAGAGTCCCGCGGGACTGATTGGAACAATTTAGACTCCAAGTCCACGACGACTGGCACCTGAACGCACAAGTTGAAAATCAGTAGAGGCTCGAAAAACTTGTAATTATAGAAGTTATCCCAAATAACAGTAGTTTTACATTTATAAACACCTAAAAATCTGCTCTTACGATGTTGCATTTGCTTAGAAGCCACGACGTCTTCTGCAAGACTTGCAGTTGACTTTGGACGCAGCTTTAGCCACCGAATTTAGGAAAAACTGGGAGCAGAACACTGTCGATACAAAGGGCACTATTTAGATAATATGCACCGTCTAAACCGAACCCGTCGCATTGGAGTTTGCTTCGAGCCGCAGAGGTTCCGATGAGTTGCATATAGCTTCTAAAATACCGTGTGATACTATATGTTATTAAATTTGAACAGTGCGTTTGGTGACGTGAGTTTGACGTCTAAAATACATTTGCTACAAATATTTGCTTTAAGTAACAGAATTTTCGCCTGTCCACACTGAGCAGAGAGGTGAGAAAATCGATTACCTTGTAGGACGGGCGTTAATCTGTTATAAATCAGTTAACCGAGAAAATCAATTAATAAATCACTGCAAGGTCGAGCGTCAAAGTCAGGCGCTGAAAGACTCACCGAACTGTCGAGCTTCTTTATGGATGACAGAAATTCTGCTGTGTATTCCGGGGAGAGACTGCTGGGCACCTCGGGTATAGCCAAAGTTAGGAGGCTGGTTTTGGCGAGCATACCCTTGAAGATGTCGCTTGAGCGCGGAAGGCTAGCGATTCCCTGCACTTCAGCATCTTCCCAGGTTGTTTCGTTCTGAACAGATAATTAGGATGGTCACCGAGAGATTAAGAATGAGTATTCACACGTTAGGGACTAGTGTTTCCCTCCCCAAATAGTCACAGTTTAAATCCTGCTTGAAGATACCAGCTCGGAATCTCAAGACATGCGCATAAATATTTAGACAAATACAGGCAAAATTGACCTACCTGGTAAATGAAGACGAAATCAGCTTTTAATGCTTCAGCTGCCTCGAGGAGTTTGGACGGACTTTTTATCAAAATTGACGAGTGACTGAAGGAGAAATGAGATGGGCAAACTTTTCAGTGAATTCCTAACAGTTCCAGGGCAGGGCATTTTCATAAAACTTATAACATTTATAATCAGTAATGGCAGCGATTTTTGTTTAAATATCGTATTCACTTTTCTACAAGTATCCATCAATTACAAAGTCTGGGGTTCCATATGTATTAGGGGGAGCATGAATTGAGGGAAGAGGAGACAATTTTAGTCAAAAAGAGGTGACCACAGGGTACCAGTTCTGACGTATTTGACGTCGACAGCCAGTCATCTCTTAAATAAACCTAAAACATGGGATATCAATCATAAGTAGCCATTCGAGTATTCTTGTGTTTAAAGGCTAATTTTTTCATTTCTGACCCCAATTTGTGCATGTCTCACACTATTCTATGGTGACCTATGATTAAGGAATTAAGAATCCGAAACGTCAGACAAATAAAATTCTTGTTCCTGTGATCGCATCTTTTACTTCTGATACTTAAATGCTTATTGAGACCATAGCCTGGGGCCGTATGGCGGAAAGAACCACCCCCATTTCATCTCAATATCAGGTCACATTGACGAACAGAAATCCCCCTGACACTTATTAGATTCCTACTTTGAAATGCGTAAGAAAGGGTGAAGGCATTGCTTGCTCTGGTGCCCGTCAGTAGATACGAATCATGGTGTGCACGTTACAACTAACATCAATAAACGGCCCGATGTGAGGTTCTATGAATTGGAAGGTCATAGTCTTCAAGAATCTCAAAATTACAAAATTATTCTAGGTGAATGATACCCTTTCTAGAAGTAACGACTTGAGGAAGGGGAAATTTTCTGCTAACTGTATACGAAAATAATGTTTTTGCATGTTTTTAATAATATATAATCGGATATACCAAAGCATGTAAATGAATTTGAAAAATTAGTAATACTTCAGTATTCCTTTTTACCGCGCGCAGATTTTGCATGCGGCTGGAAAAATGTCATTTTAAAACCAGCAATCTCTCATGCTTCGAATATCTGGAGATTATGCTAAATGATAATCAGCATTAAAATTGAACAACAAACTAAACTTTTCTAATCGAAAGCGCATTTGAGAATTTGGGTTAACATTTCATGAGATATGCCAACTACCGTAAAAGAGGTGAGTGAAATTAAGGTAAGATCAAGGCAGTCGTTTTCCCGTTACTGTTTGGGGAAAAATAACTCTGAATAGGAACAAGTTGTGATCCTTAGAATATGCTTGGTGCTTGTAGTCTAGCGCCCGCTTGGCACTTTTATCCCATGGATTTCGCAAAACAGCCTGCTCACATTTTCACCCCTGATAAAGTTTAACTGTTGCTTAACTGATGCGAAATGGCTTAAATGCCAAGTGACTAAAATAGGGTACTTTTAATCCGAGCAGAAATTTCGCATGTTCCAGCACGTCGTGCAGACCGAGTTTAGATTCAAAAGACATCTGTTGATAGGTCATCAAAATTTAAATAAAGCACAAACCTGTCTAGAACCAGAACATGACTGGGAAGAGGCTCCGCTATAGTGTCCAGCATGTGCTTTAATTCGACCAATTTCAATTCATCTTTGACCGCGTCTGTTGTGGGTCCGTGCTCCGACAGGTCAATTACATGGTAGTCGTAACCGAAGACCTCCGCCGACCGGAAGAATCGACGTGAGGCATCATCTTCGCGTCCGCGCAGAGCTATAACCTGCAAAGTAGCTGTGAAGGAAAGGATCACATTTTAATCAACCAACTTACCTTTATCAGTTGAGACAAGCGTCAGCAGAAAAGCGGTCGCAACCAATAGAAGGAGCTGATGCTGGAACATGGCCCTCATTCAACAAGCCCGTGATCGACGACAATTTCGCTCGCGCTGGGCAGCACAGCGTTTTATAGCTCCAAAAGCCGCACTGGCGGCCCCTCTTGGCCTCCCGGCTGGGCGAAAGGTAGAAAAGCGAGTAGCACTCGAACGCGATTGGCTGAAATATGCGCTTGTGTGTCACGGACCAATAGGATGCAGAGGACAGTGGCCGCATCAGCGCAAAACTTACTAACTGGTCTCCCATCTCAGTGGGTCATTCTGGTTGGGCCGTCTAGCACCTGTAACGCGTATCCACCCCAAACCTGCAAAAAAGGTGTTCTATGTTATGGATTTTTGTGAAGGATAAGCAAACGGGCTACTATATAGAGTAACAAAGGCTTTTGCCTATATTTCCCTTAATAAACCTGACCTGACCTCACAACTACAGCGCCCGCAAGCGATCATGGCCTAGCAACAGCGCATATTACGTTTGCCCCATATGCTAGATTTGGGACAGTATTTAAGACAAAAGGTCTTATACATAATAGGACCAGTCCAAAACTTGCTGGGTCATGAGCATGAAACAGAGTACCTTTGAAATATTGATGTCTATAAATATCGCACCATGTTGTTCAATTGGGAAAGATCTTGCGGAATGTGTATTGACTTGCGCTGCCCGAAAAAGTGTTAGCAGTAGCTTTTGTTTGTAATACGTTTCTCAACAATCCTTATTTATCCAGTTGTTATCACGATGGTAGAGCATGGCTACACAATTATAAGAGGTGGCCTTACGCTAAACTGTAGGCAAGTAGGATTGAGGGATAATGTGAGGGTTTGACCTAGGAGGACTGGAGTTCAAGAGAAGAAACAAGAAAAGGAATTCCCAAGTTATAGTCTGAGGTCACCCTTACTGCAGGAGATACCTATATCCGTGTCCAACCGGTACGTTTTTGACAGAAATTGCAAATGCTAGTTATAAGCATAGCAAACACCTAGCTCGATGGCATTAGTCTGACTTAAGTAAATTATGATGAGATAAAACTTTTAGTAGCCGATTACTGTTTAAAAAAAGCTTCTGCCACAGGCTATATTGGCCCCAACAAGTTTGGTTATTCCTTTGTCAGTTGCTTCTTGTTATCTTATAACGTGGAAAAAGATCAATAAGTGGTTGATTTAGTGTAGAAATTCAATATAAATACGCATGGCCGTACAATTTGTAACCAAACCGAAAACCGTCCAAAACTTGATTTGACGCACAGGCGACTCACCCCGCATCGAGGCAGGTTTTGCTGCATTAAATAAGCGAAGGCTTTGAAAACAGATGCAAAGTTTGATTTACATGTAATTGTTTTTCTTAGCTGCGAAATAATTTTTCTTCAAAATCCACCAAATTAAGGTATGGCACTTATTCAAGGCCTAGTATAACAGATGGTAAGGGAATGTAAAGAAATACCCTGGGGAAATAATAACAAATGCAACCTATTAATAAGTTATAATTTGTAATTATGACTCTAGTACATCCTCAAATCTGACGGACAAAGAAACAACTAAATTTACTATCGTGGACTGGTCAATGTACTTATTCCCCACAGTATCCAGATTTCGCCGCGTTTAAAACTGTTTTCTTGCCTAGTTACAATCTGTCTTCACTAAGGCAAATCTATTTTTGATCGGATTTAGTTCCAGGCCGTCGATAGGCATAAACCACAGACAAGGAGGCTGAGTGTGCTTCAAAAATTAAATTCTAGCTGTAAATCACCTCCGAATCATGCCTTCTTTGAGTGATGGACAGGAACTTTCACCTGCAGAGGTATAGAGTCTATTCGCTCTCGATGACGGCATCCTTTACGATGCCGATAAACACCCTATTACTAATGGTGGACGCTGTCTACCGCCGGATTTGTCGCTCGCAGAATTCGATGGTCCTCCCAACTATCAGGCATTGACCATTCTTGAAAGTTCCTTTCGGCACAGTGTGTTCTCGTGGGAAGTCCTTACCGCATATGGCTGTACAGCAGTCGAATCAGCCAAAAAGTCATCTAGAAACAAAATAGAAATGTCCTGAGTGCAGGGCAGGGCAAGGCAGTCATGCACAAACGAATGGACAGATTGGAAAGAAAACATGAATTAAAAGAAAAGACCAGGTTCACCAAACAGGTTAGTTGATTGAGCAAGATTGCTGCCTCTTAGAGCGCACGTACTGAAGCAAGAAATTGGAGGCGTATTATCAGCCAACATAGTTTCCATTATCTAACAGACACTTCGTAATGGAAGGCCAGGGAATTTGGTTTTCTGACTTTAAAGGGCTCGTAGGCTTACATATCTGCATGGCACACCAACCGGTGGCCGTTTTGCGCAGTCAAGTAATGCTGACTGCCTCTTGAAAACACAAACCGGATGGAAAGTGGAGACAGATTAAAGCGAAGACCCACTACTGCCTGTAGCTGGCCATCGTCTTGAGTAAAACCGTACTTTAAACGCTGCCAAAACCTTGCTAGTCGGACGAGGCGCCGGCAAGGCCGCGCGGAAATAGAATCGAGCATAGTTAAACAAGTGGACTAGCTCCGCACCCAACTGACAAGTTCTTTATGTTTACGCTCAAGGTCACAGTTATGCCATAGGACTGGTGACCGCAATTAAGGTCGATAAAGGTTTTTCTGTTGGCTTTTTATATACCTATACATGGGACCGAGGGCTATATAAGTAAGCGTTATATTTGCAAATCTTGTTTATCGGAAATCACTGCAAACATCCGTTGATGAAGGTTCGCCGACTGCTA